AAAGTATTTTAATTAAATTAAATGGTTAAAACTTCTTTTATCACTCCTTAGAAATGAATTATGGTTACGAGAAAATAAACAGCAAGTAAAGGTATTAAACTATAACATTATTTATATGTTTTTATGGTTACTCTTTGTGTTGAGGTTATCAAATAAATGAAAAAAGGATTAAATAAATCCAATGATATTAATGGTAAGAATGAAATAAAACAGTGTTGTGGTTGTTAAGAAAGTGTCGTTAAATATTTTAAACTTTCACATAATCATTATCTCTTTTGATCTTAAAACATTATTTTGAATTTTCTAAATGTTTTTTGCATCGTAAATCCTGTTAGTTTCATTTATTTAATCTCTTTTCACAAATTTCTTTGTTTTCTTTTTATTCAGATGGATTTGCTTATCTTTGTGTATAAGTTAATTTTATTTCTTAAGTGTATAATAATGAGTTTCTTATGGATTTATTGTTCAAGTCATTTATGTGGCTATTTTGGGTTAATTGTTTATCTTTCTTAATAGATATTTTAAAAATTGATGTATTGAGACAATTTTTCTATTCGTATTTTTTATAGAGAAACACAAATCAGCCAGATCAAACAAATTAAAAAATATAACATTTTATATACTGATGCTGTTATAAGTTATAATAAAAGATTCATTTTTATAGGCGAGAGTTTGTTAGTTGTTATTAGTAGATAATATATTTGACTTCCATGGTGTAGAAAATTTTCAATATTTTTCAAGTTTATAATTTTACTTGAGAAATAATAACTTAAAATAGAATTAAAGTTGTGCAATATTCTTTAGATAGATAGTATTTATAGCATATAAACGTTTTTCGTGTTAAACACTTCAATATTTTCTTCAGTAAACAAGACAAAAACAGCAACTAAAGAAAACTAAACATGGTGTAGTTATACCATTATTATTAATATGAAACTAAACAAAAAAAACAAAGTGAGTTTAAAGAATTAAAATAGATTATTATAATAGTCAAAGAATAGAACTAAGATAGAAAATAATAATGCACTACTTTATACTATTAATGCCTATATTTTTTTGTTTTGGAAAAACACTATGTCAACAAACAATACAAAATGATGCAGTAATATACTCTAATAAATCCGAGTGTAGTTTAAAACCTCCAGCAATATCTAATTACTTATACGACTATTCTAATTATTCATCAGTAATTCTTGTTATTGGTGATGTAAAGAATGATATTCATTTTGGTTCATCAAATGGTTTATTCAATGCAAAAAAGGTTACTTTAAAATTACAAGAAAAACTAACCAGTTGTTGTTCTCGTATATTTTTTCAGAACATCACAAACAATTTTGAAGTTCAACTTATTAACAACTCATATTCATTTAATGATATTCAGTTTAGTTTTTATAATGGAAACAGTCCAACAAAAATATATGGAGATATTGATACATTATATGTTAAAGAGGAAGACTATTTTTATAACAATTATCATTTACCTATTCAACGTACTTATTTCTCTTCGAGACCAACATCTTTGAAGATAACAACTCAAAGCTATGGAGTACAATATTTAGTATCTTCATATAAAGATACAATTAATCAACCTACTTCAAATTATTTCAGTCAAACATGTGGTGGAATGTCTCGTCATTTCAGTTATTATGGTATTGATTTTCATGGTGCAACATCAGAATGTAAACGTACATTTACAAAAAATGATGAAGATGATTTCTACTCATTTATCGTAACAGTTACTGTTTCTTTAACATATACGAGGTATTACATATCATTGTCATCAAATAATTATATTATTAAAAATAGTCGTGGAACAAATACTCATGCAGTTTTTACATATCCTTATCAATGGTTAAAATATGATTCTTCAAATCAAATATCTTTCAATATTTATAGAAAGAAAGAACCGTATCAAAAAATTTCATTTAAACTAACAATAAAATCATCAAATGAAGGAACGACAATAATTACAGAAGAAGAAAATAGTAATAAAACAATTTCAACAGTTATTATTTCTTCATCAAAACAAATAACTGAACTAAGCTCTGTTTTGTTTTCAGGACCAACAACAAAGAAATGCCAAATAATGGTTATTGGAATGAACGGAATTACATTAGACAATATTGGATATAATAATTGTGATAGAATGATTTATAAAGAAAATAAACAAGAATGTGTTCATTGTAAAAAAGGATATTATTTAAATACAATGAAACAGTGTCAAATTGGTTCACACTGCTTTTCTTCAAAAGAGTCGAAATGTAGTTCTTGTGAAGAAGGATATTATCTTGAACCAAATTTGGGAAAATGTTTTAGATTTAGAAATGATTGTACTAAAATAAATAATCAAAGTCACTGTATCAAATGTGATTATGGATATTATCTTAATTTAAATACACAAGTATGTACTAAACTTAAAAATGGATGTAAAATTGGAAATGAAACATATTGTTATCAATGTGAAGAAGGATATGTCAAAGAAAAAGGAGAATGTAATAAAATTGATCGTAATTGTAAGAAGTCAGAAAGAAATTATTGTTTA